CATCATATCCTGCCCAAATGGCCCATAGCTTGTTTCCCGAGCCCAACAGGGGCCGTTTCCTGAGTCATTATTCTGAGTCAGCGCTGTGTTTTAGGTCACACACCCCTTGGCCCATGGTACTGCTAAGAGACGGCTGATGGGGGTGGGGGATGGGGTGAACAGAGCTTGGATGTGCCCACCGAGTTGTCCATGTGGGTGCAGGACAGAGCCAAGTGGGAAGAGAAGGGGCAGAAGGGATGGACCCGGGACCTCTTTGTGCTCTTGTTAAGGAAGAGCCCGGCAGGAAGCAAATCAGCTCTGGTCCCTGGATCTAAGGCAAAGGCCAGACAAAGCCATCAAGCTGAAGTTTGAGGAGAGGAGCTAAGAGACAGAGCTACCAGGCTATAGTCCAGATTTAACTGTCATAGCTTGCTGGTCAATAACACCCCCTACATGTGATCAGTGAGAGGGTTTTTTTGCCAAAGACCTCTAGGCTCCACAAGCAGGAGCTTCTGATGGTCAATTCCAAAGCAAACCTGGGCCCCAGAGTCCATGCCAGGAGGGAGCAGAGTCCTGTGCAGTGCCCTCAGGGGTGGCCAAAGTGAACCCTGGGTGGAGGCTCCAGCAGGCGGAGCACAGGGAAGCCACAGTGGCCCACCATGGACTCAGTAGACGGACGGTGAGTCGACAAGCATGTTTGCCGCTTACTCACCATTCCTGACCAGCAGGAAATGCTGGCCTTTGGGCCACTGGCCGTCATCTCCTGTTCCCTTTCCCCTTTTTAAAATAGACGTTTTCTGGCTATCCTGTCCCTCCCCTATAACGGCCATGTATTGGGTATGTTGGGGTGGCACACCCAACCCTTGCAAGGTCATGTTCAGACCTAACAGGGTGGAGTATTCCATAGACTTCTGCTTGTCTCCCAAGGGAAAGGAGGTATAAACAATGTGGCTTTTGAAAAAAAATATATTTTGTTCGGTTTTTTTGAGGAAGAGGGTGGGAGAGAGAGAAACATCAATGATGCACGCCCACTACTGGGAATCAAGCCCGAAACCTTGGCATGTGCCTTGACAGGGAATCGAACCAGTGACCTCTCAGTGCATGGGACAATGCTCAACTGACTTTAGCAACACTGGCTAGGGCAGAAACATAGTTTTCCCTTAAACAGGGACATTTTTGAAATTGTCCATATGGGAAAAAGGGTGCGTGTGAGCTGGGCAGACAAGTGACAGTTAGCTTATCCAGTGTGTTCCCACTTCCCACCCCTGACCCTTCTGGTCACAGACTTGAACCCCTGACTACAGAGGGAGGCCCATGAGCCAAGTTAGAACAATCACTGCACTTTACCACAGTGATTGGTTCCGGAAGGTCATGTGACAGCAGCTGCCAATCTCAATTCTTCTGGCTGGAGCTGATGGGAAAGAACTCCTCTTCTTGGTGACATAAAAAATGTGAGTCCAAGGCTCTCAGTGGCCCTGTTCCCCACTGAGAGAGAGAGAAAGGGAGAGGGAGAGAGAGGGGTGGGGGGAAGAAAGAGAGACAGTGATGTGAGAGAATCACATCCATCTGTTGCCTCTCACACGTGCCTTGACATGGGGTTGAAGCTGCAACCCAGGTATGTGCCCTTGACCAAGAATCAAACCCAGGACTTTCAGTGTGAGAAGGGGGTGGGGGACAACATTCCATCCACTGAGACACACTGGCCAGGATAGGAGGGTAAGTATTTTAAAGATGAGAGACACTTGAGATCATTGAAATGACTTCGATTTTATTGAGGACTCTTATGTGATTTCATTTGAACCTCATAATAACCTCATGAGGATGTTTTCCCATTCTACAGATGAGGGAACTGGGGCGGGGCTAAATGGTTATTAGATGTACAGAGGGAATTGGGGGCAGGGTTTGGAAGAGGAGACAATGCCATTCTTTCCTCCCTATACTCCCACTGCCACTCCACCATATGGGGGTGGGAGGCAGAGAAGGGTGGAGAGAAAGAAGGAAAGAGGACTGGGAAGGATGACATGACTACCAAAGTCTCTGTGAGGTGCAGGAACTGTAGACACTCTATCTCCTTTAATCAAATCCCACCAACCCTCTGAGGTAGGCCCTGTTGGAGTGTCATTGCCCCCATGAGGAAGGGCTTCCCTGAGGGTGAGAAGGATCACACCTTCGCCAGGTCACAGAGGCAGTAAGAGACAGCATCTGGATTTGAACTTGAGTCTGCAGTGTCTGTTCTCAGCACTTCCAGTGAGCCCTCATCTCAGACTCCCAGGCCTCTTCTCCAGCGACTGTTACCTGGTTTCCACACCCCACATCAGGCTGCTATGAGCATGACTTTCATTCCATCTGTGCCCTCTCAAATCCCAGGGCCCCAAGTGCCACACGAGGTCAGCAGGGTGAGGCAATATGCCTGGAGGAAGGGAAATGGAAGGATAATGCACACTAGGTCCTTCCATTTCACCCATGAGAAGTAATTCAAAAGAAGATTTTAGCCCTGGCCAGCGTGGCTCAGTTGGTTGGGCATCATCCTATGCATTGAAGGGTTGCCAGTTCAATTCCTGGTCAAGGCAGCAGATCTCTCTCTCTCTCTCTCTCTCTCTCTCTCTCTCTCTCTCTCCCACCCCCTCTCAAAAAAAGGAAGATTTTTATAT